TCGTCATCTTCAACTATCCTGTGTCTGCCAGTAATGGGGGAGGAAGCTCGCTGGAGGGGCTGGCAGCTTGCTGTGCTTCCAGCTTTGGGAGATCAGGGGAGGGGGGTGTGTGCTCGGTGCCACTGCCCTTTTCCTGATCTCTTAGCAGCAGACAAGTCACTGGAGCCAAGGTCTGCTGCAAGCACGGGTGTACGTACAGGAGCGCTTCCTTGCCTGTAGGGAGAGAAGCGTGTAGAGACCATGAGAAAGCTGAGGAGCTTCAAGCTTAGATGAGTCGCTGCGGTGTTTGGTGACTCTTTTGTATTGTGGCAGCTGCTCGCCAGTTGCATGCTGTGAGTCATTGCGGACAGGATATCAGGCCAGATACATGCTAAGAGTTAGAGAAATTAAAAGTGAATGCTGTCTCTGACTCCCGCTTCCTCTGGCTGCCTTTGTTTCAGGTCCTTGGGAGCTCAGGCAAACTCTACACCTGCTACAGTTCCTGCCACTTCTGCACGTGTCCTGCTTTTGGTTTTACTGTACTGCAGAAGAGCGAGAGCCTTCTGGTAAGTTGTCTGCCCTAACTTGGGGCCGGGACAGGGAACGGGGGAGAAGGCTGTGCTCTGCTCCTTGAACCTGAGTAGCCTGAAGTTTCAAAGGGAGCAAACGCATTCGTGTTGAGTTGGCCACGTAGGCTCTGTCTGACCCATTGCATAATCTGGCCTCTGGGAGTTGCGGTATTTGGGTGGAGCTAGGCCTTACAAGGGCTAGGGAGGGCTTTTGTTCTTAATTACACATTACTGTTCTGACTTTCAAGAGATGAATAATCCCTGGTCTCTTGGAACAAGGGCTATTGCTGCTAATGGGACTGCCACATGGAGTCTGGCTGATGAAGTGGTGCAGTTCACCTGGTGCCAGTGAAGAAGGGCTCAGGGTAACTAATTGGTCTGCAGGTGTCCTCTTGTTTTTGAGAGCTGTGTGGGCTGCCAGACAGTACCAAGCTGACTCTTGTTCTTTATAGTCTGGATCTACCTTCTCCTGCATGCATGTGGGGAGGGCATCAGGAGCCAGTTAACACTTTGCTGTGTGTCAGATCCCTGTATTAGATTATCCTGATGGCAGAACTGACCTGGTACGACTGGAGCACCAGCCTGTGCCAGGGCTTGGTGTGCCTGGGAGGGGTGAGCGCTTCATTAGACCCATTCTGGCCAGGATGGATTTTTGTGGCTTCCAGATAGAGCATGACATTCCCGCATTGCTCCAGCTCTTAACTTGGCTGCACTATTATTTGCAGTGCAAACACATACTTGCCGTCTACCTCAGTCAGGCCATGGGAGCCTGCCAGGAACTATCTGTCTCTGAGGAGCAGCTCACAAGCATCTTACTGGCTGAGGAAGAGGATGGAGGATGAAGGATTTGGATCACATGTAGATGTGCTTTCTGTGTGCCCTCCCGGCTGTGTAGCTGGCATTTTTCATATCTACAAGGCTGTCAAATGTTCATCGTGGCTGGTAGGTTTCTTCCTGTGCTGCAGCCAAGTGTGACATTAATTAGCAGCCTTGCATTGATGGACTAATTAAAAAATGATAAGAAGCCTGTGTTGACTTCATTTTCACTTATTTAGGCTATTCTTGGGATTGCTGAAGGTGTTTGAATTAATCTGTAGTATTGTGTGCTTGGGATGTGGGGATATGAACAGTCCAGCAGGTCTCTTAGGGATCCATTAAACCTTGTTAAATCTGCTCGTGCTTTGACTAACCCCACCGCCCTTCCAGTGCCTGCATGGCTTTGTGGAGTTGGCCTTTGACAGAGTGACGCTGCAGTGGCTCTTTGCAGCTGGCTGCTCACAGCAGTTCCTGATTCATCACTGGCAAACCTGTACCAGGGACTAGGGCAGGCAGCACCTCTCAGCACCTCGAGCTTGATGACAGGTCTGTGCTTCCGCTGTGCTTACTGTAATACAGGATCTTTGGAAGCATCACCCATTTCAGACAAGTTGACCCCTCGTGCTGGCAGGCAAGGCAAGGCTGTCCACATCAGACACAGGGGAAAGGAGACTGCTGCTCCCCCGTTCCACACACCAGCCGGTGAGCTGGGAAACCAGCTCCTTCCAGCTCTGTGACTCCCTGCCCGTGCTCTGAGATTGGGCTCCTCCTCGAGTACAGCGTGGCCTCGTATGTTACACCGTGTGAACACAACACCGGAAGAAATAATGGGGCACAGGCTGAGCCAGGTTGTGTAGGTGGTAAATTAAGCATTCTGTATGTAAATAACAGTTACTGCAAATACAAAATCTGAGCAACATGAGGAAAACACATCCATCCTATGTACATCAGAGCAGTAATGAGTGATAGCTGAATAGCTACAGCTGCACTCGCTACAGAAAGTTCCTCTGCCATTTTCACTTCACATTTTTATAGAAACATTCAGAGCTTTTTTCGAGGGGGGCGAGAGAGGTGTCCTATTTTTATTTTGCCTTGAAATGACTTTGGCTCAGATCCAGGAAGGCACTTAATGTGCCTGAAGACCACAGTGACCCGGACCATAGTTAATAATGGCTAACAACCCGATGGCACAGTCTACTAAGGAAACACCACATTTGTCTACAGGAATTCTGGCTCATAAGAGGCATATGAAAGGTAGCAGTAGTGGATGCCGAGCTGCAGGGCAAGCTGTCACATACGAGCAAGTGTTCGGGACCATCTCTCTCTGTATTGCAGCGCTGTGCATTTCAGTCTGTTCGTGCTGTCCAGAGTTTGGTTCATTTTCAGCCAGCAGGAGGGGAGAGATTACATTCTTTGTTGTAAGGATAAATGTGGCTTGCAACCACTTTGCAACACTGCCAGACCTGCAGGTGAAACCCTGCTGGTTTCCAGCCATGATTAACAGAAGGAACACAACCAAAGATAATACAGAAGGGAAGGAATGAAAGGAGGAGAGAGTGAAACCCTGCCCAAATGGTGGCTACATGTGTTAGCTGGACTATGACCAAGGCAGACGCAGCAAAGCTGAATGGGGCTGTTAGAGGAAAAACACGTGGGACAGTAACTTTTAACTATTCAGCTGCTTCTTGGAAATGCCAGTATCTGAGATACTGAGCTGTAGCTAAATTTGGACATTGCATAAACATGTACAAACCCATTCAGAGCTTACTGGTGATTCACCAACGTTTGGGGCTGGCTCTTATGGCTGAGCTTCTACACACACGGTAGCGAAATCCATCACTCCTAGTGAACCGTCCTCTGTCTGCATGGTGGGCCCTAAGTCATACCTGCAGCTGCTGCCTGCAGGTCGCACCAGCTGGCACAGCAGATGCTGCAGGAACAGAATTTCTTCAGATGAGCTTTTCAGCTGATTTTACACTGTATTTGTCATTATATACGCCAGAGAAATGAAACTCTTGGGGTCTTATATTAACCCCCTTTTAGTGCAATGCAGTTAAAAAAAAATAGAAAGCTGATTTCTATATGATTCAAGTACAATTTATCAGGGACAAACTGCTCCAGGCATCACTGGGCCTGTTCTTCAGGAACCGGCTGTGTTTAAACTTCCTTCCCTGCCACCTGGTTCTAAAAGGTCTGCTCCCTGTCTCTGCCTCCCCGCATGGGTTACCACTAAAACCATATTCAATACACATCCTTGCACTCCAGCTTCTCACCGGTCGCATGGTGATGCTGCTGGCATCGAGTGCTTCGGAGAGAGACGGTACCACTTTACCACGTAAAGGGACCTTCAGGCAAGACTCCCATTTGTAAGGGGGCCACAAGGTGATGGCAGGTCTGAGCTAGTCGAAAGCAGCTGTGTCTGTACCACAGTCGGCTTTTGGGCACGAAGGAGGGAGGCTGTTTGGTGTTTTTCTGCCTGCCCTCCCTGTTCCTCACAGCTGTGGCATGAAACTGCCCTGCAAAATAAAAGACATGCCAGAAACCCTGGTTCTTTTACGGCAGTGCACATGCTGTCATGCAGTCTGGAGAAGTGGAGCTCGTGCTTTAGAAATTAATGCACGGTTCTTTCTACCTTTGTCTAGTTTTGCATATTACAGTTAGTTACCTACGAAATCAGGTGCAGTAATTACTGAGCTGTGGTTGCAGAGAGTTATTATAACTTGCAGTATAAATTAAGACTGCTCCGCTGTTGAGTGGGCTTTGTCCTTACAAAGGGCCAGGACTCTGTGGCTAACTGCAGAGGCCAGGCTGGGCAATCTGCGAGGTGAGCTTCTTCCCCAAAGAGCTTGGCCAAAATCAGGTCGCAAGTCAAGGCATTCTAGCTTCTCAAGCAAATTAGCTCCCCTCCCGTCTCTTTTGCTACTGATGCAGGTCAGGATTAAAAAAATAAAAAAATAAAAATCACTATTAGAAAAAAAAGCACTCACAGCTTCTGGGGGTTACTGGGCTACACAGGAACTCCAGCAAGACCAAGTTTTAGGAATCAGGCGAGCTGCAGCATCCAGCTATCGCAGCCAAAACCTGCACTTCTAGACGTATTGCAAGGCTGTCAAGTTTTGACTTGGGAGCAAAAATCTAATTGTAGAGATAGTGTCACCAAGGGAGTGTTTGCACTAACCTCAGTGACGCTGGATCGGACTAACTAGGACTATTAGGGCACTTCTGCCTTTTGATAGCAGGAAACAGATTTGAAATCAAACCTGAAGCACTGATCTGCACAATCCTGTAGACCAAAGAGATTTAAAGGCAATAAAACTGCTGTTCTAAAACTTCAGTCAACTCTTTTCTAAATTTTTTCTCTTTCAGTAAGTAGGGCTTCCATACTGGGGCCAGAAATAGCTGGCCAGTTCTGATCTTGTTTTCCCATCAACACGGTCACATCCCTCAGAGCCTGGAACGCGGTTCAGTTTCACACCAGCAACTGGGCTAAGTAAGACTTCTTCCCATCGGAGAATACTAGCTGCATCAAACAATTGATGGAATAATTAGGGTATTACCAAAGTGCTGTCAAGTATGGACTTAAAGAACAACCCAAAAACAGACACAAAATTATTACTCCTAAATGAATCAAAAGATTAAAAAATAATAATAATAATTAAAATAAAGATCCTAGGACTTGACATGAGCAGCACAATTGGGGAAACACCCCCAGCAGGTGGGTCTTCCACAGTCAATGTCTGACCTGGAAAGGAAATACAATACGATCACCAGCATTCACGCAACCTGGTTTTACAGTCGAGGGTGAGCTGCGCTCAGTCTCCCCGGTCAGGTTATTCCTCTAGGAGGCACTATGTTAATTACAAAAATTAAAAAAAAAAAAAATACAGCTGCATAACTGCATAGTGGTCATCTCTGAGCACTCCTCTAGGAGTTAGCTGTAACTGTTCACATAGGCACAGGGAAAGGTAGTGTCAGGGACAGACTGCAAAATCCTGGGAGCAGGACATGCACGGTCATATGGTCACAGAGGCTGCTGGAGAGTTAATGTTGGTGACAGTCAGGTGCTGGTTGTTGTCAGTGGTGCACTTGGGGAAGTCATCCGTCTTACAGAGGATCTTGGAAATGATCTTGCGGAAGGTGTAGTGGAAGTCCCTGATCCTGTAGGCATAGATGATGGGATTGATGACAGAGTTGGCATGGGAGAGGATGATGGCCACATACATCACCCACTCAGGCTTGGATTTGGAGAACTCCTCGTGGAAGTGAGTGATGCAGTTCAAGATATGCAGGGGCAGCCAACAGAAGGCAAAAAGTCCGACAATGATGGCCAGAGACTTGGCTGCGTGGACCTCCTTCTGCAGTGTGGTCCTGGAGTTGCCCATCAGTTCGATCTGATGCAACTGTTTGCAGGCGACCATGAATATCTTAATGTAGATTCCCAACATGATAATGAGCGGAAGCAGCACGCAGCCGAAGAAGTTGAAATACACCATGTAGCTCATCGTTACCACATTCTCAAAGAGGCACGAGATGAAGCAGCCATGGTGCTCTGTCCCGGTGTCAGCCCCTGTCTCGTTGGTGGCGTTGGGACAACCGCTCATGGCTTTATTCCAGCCCATAAGCGGAGTCAGTCCAATTCCAAAGGACAAGAGCCACAGCACAGCAATGAGTCCTCTTGCCCGCTTGCCAGTCACCAGGCTATTATACCTACAGTATCAAGAACAAAACCAAGATAGAGCCATTACATAAATGAGCGCTCGTGACTTCCCTGCAGTTGAAGTCATCAGCATTTTGGCTAATGCCACAAAATCGCCACCCACACCCATGCAGGAACCTCACCTCTGTGATCGCCGGAGGGTAAAAAAATCTCACTTGTGCTCTACGCCTACGCAAAGTGATTTGGGGAGGTGATTCACTTACTATTCCTGAGAGGTGCCAAGCACTGCTCTTGCCCGCGAACATCCTTCAGTGGGGGTTAGGACCCGGGTTTTTTAAAAAAGGCTTTATTATTGCATGAGCCTAAACCACCAACTACAAGGAGGGCAAGAACAGGGGGAAGGCTCACTCTGTAACCACCAACTTAGTCCCTTGCTCTAAGCATCCATTATTGGGCACGCCAGGGCACATTGCTGGGCTACTTGAACTTCTGGGCTGACTTATTACAGCTGAGACAGTGCTGGCTCTCAATTCTACACCGTAATGGGTAGCTAAAGACTTAACCAGCATCACCACACACTTACAGCCTTTATACCACAGCCAACTTGCTTCAACTTGGGCTGCTCTTATGCCTGCAGCAATGCTGGCCTTCACTGGAGATTGCAGCAGTCCTGTAATGTGATGTCCCTTCCCATGCTACCTCATACACTAAGGTGGGAAGTACACGTGTGTGGAAACCAGGGATCCCACCAGTTTCCCAAACACTGCAGTTGCTGGTTTACACATGCCAGACTGCAGCCCACACGAGCTTGTTGTGGCTGGATAATAAACACCCTGAAAGGCTTTTCTGAGCCAGCATCTGAAAGCAACTGCTAATGATGGATTGCTTAGGAGAGTTACAAGTTAGGGTTTATGTCTCCATTCAGAGTCTCGCATCCAGGTGTGGAGCTGAGAGCCAGGGACACTGGGCTCTTCTCCCCCCCATTGGCATCCCTGCTTTATGCATCCTCCATCAACAGTGCTGATGTGGGCAGCTTCGCTTAGCTCCCAGGGCTCGTGTCAGCCTCCACTGCTCGTGTATGTGACGTGCCAATTCTGGGGGACACTGACCATCAAGACGTCCTGAAGCCACACACAGACTCGGACCTGCAGCTGCTGAAACCGTCAGTGGGGTTAAACCATTCAGCCGTGCATAGCTGCTGCTGTCAAACGATGCTTTGTGCTCTGCTGACCCACCATAACTGTTTGTAAAGATACAGATTTTTAAGTAAATGCCTTCCTTGGGCACCTGCTGCTCTCACACGTTACAAAGAAGCTCCGCGGTGGCCCAGGGACAAGCTGATGCAGCGCTGAGGGGTGTAGAGCCATATGCTGCCCCATACCTTTCCTAACCCCACGGACTGGGTGTCTTCATGGCCAAGAAAGTAAAGGTTGTGGCTGATGCTCGGAGACACAAATGGGGCTGGAACATAAAGCAGCAAAAGTCAAGCTGGTTTGGGTACAACCAAACAGATGCCAACATCAAAGCATCAGTTGGATTGCTTTTTGGAGATACGAAGAACCAGCGACTGCCAGAAAGACAACATGAGAAACCCATTACTGTCCTCTCCACGGCCAGTTAGCATCTGCTGGCAGACACACGTCCCCCCCCTTCCCACACCCTTCTCTCAGTGCTTGTTTACTCTGGCTTGGCTACCCTGCTCCTCCTTTCCTAAGAACGTTTGTTCTGATTTTCTTCCGGCCCGTGAAGCAGGGGAGGGTTTTATTCCCACAGAACCGCAGCTGTGCCTGTGAATCACACTGCGGTCACCTCCGTGCGAGCCATGTGTCCCTCTCCTCCTGCAAGCTACAAAGACAGGAGAGTAAGTGGAGGGTGGTCTGCCAGCACGAACCGGGAGGCAAAGAGGGGCTGGGGGGAAGCGCTCGGCTCCTTTTGCGTGGCCGCTGCGAGCGGGGCTCGCTTCGGGCACAGCCGGGGCTGGCCGAGAGGATGCGGGAGCAGCAGCCACGTTTAGGCGATGCTGAACTGTGAACACACTCCACGAGGTAGATGTCTGAAGGGCAGGTCCAGCCACTGAGGGGTTTCTCCTGCACTTTTCTCATTATTATTAAGTCTCGCTGCTTCAGAAGATGAGAAGTTACCAGGCAGGGCATCACTGAGGCCAAGCCCATTGCTTTCAAAACCCTGTGCTAAATGCCTGTTTTCAGCAGGCAGAGCTGGTCTGGGTTGTGGGGCCTGAAAACTTTAAGATTTGATTTGGAGCGAGTTCCCAGAAATCCGATCTCTTGGCAAAGTCTGAGTCTCGAGCTACGACGTTGGCCAAGCTTAGTCAGTGCTGCAGGAGCACCAAGAGCTGCAGCTGACCTACAGCTCTGCACATGGGAAGAAAAAAACCGTGGCTCCTTGGCTTGTGCTATTTATTCACGCTTAGTTGATCACTTTAGTTACTTTTCTGCTGCTTCAGTCATGTCACATCCTGAAAACTATTGTAGCGAGACTGGCAAATGCAAAAGGGACCATTGTTCAGACAGAGAAACTGAAGGAGTCAAGAGTTTTGTGTGTCTGAAGCAGGCTGTGCACAGGAACACAAGGAAAAGATGCTGCGGCTCAGTGTGCTGTGCTCAGGCCGATGCCCACCGCGCCACTCCAGGCTGGTGACATTCGGTGCCACCTCTTGCTGGAAACATGTGACCTCAAATAAGGCTTATTCCATCTGCTCTTCTCCTGAACTCTTCTGCAAAGATAAAGCTCGGCTTGAAGGTTTACAAAACCAGTTAAGCAGTCACTTCATTTTCCAGTGGCTGTAATGGTGGCATGTTTATTTTAGTGTTGCTCACTCTTCCCCAGCACACACAGCAGAGCTGCAGCCAGGATTGCATTTAAGCAGGGGCCCCTTCTGTGAGAAGGAGGAGATGGAAAAACACGCTGCGCTCCGGGTCTGCAAGAGCCAGAGCTGAGCAATGGAGAGGGCTGCAGGCCTGTCCGCGCAGGGAGGAGATGGTGCTCATTAAAGTGGAGATAACTCATCACAGTGAACAACGCGCTCCTTAGATTAGCTCTATTTTTGCATTGCAAATTCCTCCCAACATCTCTCCATTCAGTGGATTGATCCCAGGTAATGATGATGGTCGCTGCTGTGACTGCAGAGAAGGGTCACAGCTGGTCACTGAGCTACCAGCCAGAAGAGGCCAAGGTGAAATTGGGGATAGTTCAATGCTCTAAAATTGTTCACTAATTACCTTGTTATTACCTGTCCTGGTTTTGGCTGGGATAGAGTTAATTTTCTTCCTAGCAGCTGGTACAGTGCTGTGTTTTGGGTTTAGGGTGAGAACAATGTTGATAACACACCGATGTTTTAGTTGCTGCTGAGCAGTGCTTACACTAGTCAAGGACTTTTCAACCTCTTATGCCCTGCCAGCAAGAAGCTGGGAGGGGGCACAGCCAGGACGGCTGCCCCAAACTGGCCAAAGGGACATTCCATACCATGGGACGTCATGCTCAGTACAGAAACTGGGGGGAGTTGGCCTGGGGGTGGTGACCACTGCTCGGGAACTGTCTGGGCATCGGTCGGCGGGCGGTGAGCAATTGCATTGTGCATCACTTATTTTGTATATTCTTCTATTATTATTATTATTTTCCCTTCCTTTTCTGTCCTACTAAACTGTCTTTATCTCAACCCATGAATTTTACTTTTGTTTTCTGATTCACTCCCCCATCCCACTGGGGCGGGGGGTGAGTGAGCAAACGGCTGGGTGGGGGTTAGCTGCCTGCCGGGTCAAACCACATCATTACCTTAATACACTTATTTGGTGGGACACTGCCTTAAGTTAATGGAAGTTAAGCACATGCTTAAAAATAAAGGAGTACGTGACTATTACCAGATCAAGGCATGAAGTTTCATTAGCGAGCCGCTGCACACACCTGCAACCTCCGTCATAAACCACCATCAAGAAAAGCAGGCACGGGCTGTGAGACAGCCGAGACTCAACTTTTTTCCTAAGCTCTATAAAACATGACCAGACAGTAAGGAACCAACAGATTTTCACAGCTCTGAATGCTCCAGCAAACCCCTCCTTCATTCTCTGTTAGGCTTAATATTATTAGGCAAAAAAACTGTTAAAGTAAATTTACTCACCGAAATCTGCTCAATTAATGTATAACAAATATTGAATCTCCTCTATGTTTCTGCCCAGAGGCATCAAATGTTGCTTTAACGTAAATAACAGCTGAATTTTTTAAAATGGTTTATTGAGATTAAATAACCTGGCAATGCATTAGTTCCTTTTACACCACCAGGGAAAGTCTCTTTACTGGCGTAATCATCATCAAGCAGCTAATTATCTCAGCTCCCACCCAGTGCCCCCGCAGTGGACATGCTCCAGAAGCCCCGATGCCACCCCCGCTGTGCTGCCGTCATCAAGCGATTCAGGTTTCTATTCTTCCGACATACGTAACTATACGTTTGCCACCAGTGTCACAGTCACACAGCCTGGGTTGCAGTAGGTCAAATGCTTTACGGAAAGTTCAGCTGCTTTTACAACATGGCTCTGGCCCACCGGTGTTACCGTATACAAGTGCCAGGCTGCTGGGTCTGTACCTGCTGTGCCGTCACCAAAACGGGCCAGCGGCAGAGGCTTCAGCCTGGGCACAGCACAGCTCTGCCCAGCCACCGTGCCGTGGAGTGAGCAACCGCTCTGCCACCGAAGCTGGAGGAGATGTCCCCTGAGCTGGCCCGTGGACTGGAGGTGGTGTCCTTCACCCAGCACACGCTGCTGTTGCCTGTGGCCGGTCTGCTTCAGTGAGGGCTCAGCAAGGTCCACAGCTTTTCTGGAAGAGCATCATGGCAACCACCAAAATGACCAAGTTGTCCATTAGCACAGGGTGCAGGAAGGCTCTCTGCATTCTCCAGGCACTGTGCCTCTGGTTGGTAGGATGGTCAGGGTGGTTTTTTTCCCAACAGATCTCATTGCATTTCTAGTTCTATCTACTAGAGCTGGATACCAGCCAAGACACCCAGGCAGGCATTGCTCAGCACAGCTGGAGCAGAGCA